AACATTCAAAGTGAGCGATTTTTATATTTTGAACTTACTAGAAGTACAAGAAATAATCTCAATTTCGGAAGTTGAATCATTTTTGTTCACAATGCTTACTTCGAATGGAGTTTAACGGGTCTGGATATTTTCAGTCGTTAGAATGATATCCTTTCGTTCACGCTATTCGACCGTTAGCCATTGAATTATTACAGTTTCCCGGCGTGTATGTCCTACATCATGTACTGTGTAGCCAGGCAAACCAACTTTGTGACATGCAACTTGATTTTAAGATTGAAATAGTATTTCGACCCAACTCCGAACAGATTCCATTAGCACAGAATGTCAACCAGCAATTTAATTTTCCTTTGTTACGGCCATTTCGCTCCGTTTAACAGATATCACTGAAACCTAAACAATGTGGAAATTATGCTTCTGAGACTAATCTACGTTTTTTTGATGATGTGTTCTGATGATATAAATGTCTGCAGAATGAGAATAGTCACTTAACTAGAATGAGAAAAGGAGTCAGACTTATACATTCCCTTTGGGTTTATTGAACAGACTTTGAGTCTGGGAGATGAGGGTAATGTAATATTTGGATAATCCTTCTCAGAAGTTATAGTTATTACATTTGTTGGTATGTTTCAGATACATCAATTCTATTTCTTCACCTGATTATGTAATGAACCTGAGGAAAATTATGTCGTCCGAACCTAAATTAAATACATGTCCTTAGATTCGCTATAGTAAAATTTCATAACAGTTGGCACTGAATTCTTGAAAATATAATTCCATTGAAACGAAAACATCGGTATCAAGGTTGTGATTCTATACAGGGTGTTTATTAAGTATGTACCATAAATTCAACAGACGAATCTTTAAGTAATTCTAAGACGAAATGTTCATATGAACATGGGTCCGCAAATCCTTCGTTCTCAAGATATAGGGTGTCTCGAGCGGTTCAATTTCCTTCATTTCTTTGGATTGAGCAATTAGAAATACAACTTATTTGTTTCTTTAATTTTTTTGTATCTTGCTTAGTTTTTATGAAAAAAAAAGTCGACCTAATTGCATATCTCTGGACCTCACAATGAATAATATGGAGAATTGAATGTTTCTTTTGGAAATTATCATTTTTACAATTTTTCATTACTATGTTCACAGTCATGCTCATTTTGTTGTAACGTAGTTCTTCCGCCAAGTTCTTCCGGCATCCCACGCACCATGATGGGTCAGTCTCTACCAGGGTCTTCAAATCCTAGTCCTGGTCAACCACTTCGGGGCTCATCTTTGAGGCTGAAATCTCTGGAAGAAAAGTTCGCAAACCAACGTCGAACAGTGCATTCATTAATACTATCATTTCCAAATGCTCGGGTGATTTTTCTGGTGATTCGATACAATTTGAATTCGTAGACAAAAAATTACCAAAAATCGCTCAGCAACGTTATACAGTGTGTAAAAGCCAAATGGAATAAATATATTATTTAGGTTACTGTCAATAAATGTAAATTATAATTTGACATTCTTCAAAGTAAAAATACCACCCCTACCTCCAACCCGCTTCGAATGACAGGTACAACCCACAATTTTTCAAATGAGAAGTATAAGTTTGTGATACTATCGTTTGAAAGATCTATTCATTCTTTATGCAGAAATGTTATCGCTTTCAAGTTTATTGCAACAATTAAGATAAAATAAATTAAAATCATGTGGTTACCGAAATTCGATAAAATACACTCAAAAACTAAAATGTAATGCAAAACGTAATGGAATGTTGAATAGGAAAAAGAACTATGGATGTTAACGAAGTAGATGTTCAAAATATTCACTGTGAACGGTTCGGCAACATCCTAATCTCAAAGGTATGGTTTTGTACACATTGCTCTTTACATATCCCCTTAAAAAGAAATCTAATGGTGAAAGATCAGATGATCGCGCTGGCCATTCGATCAATCATCGCCTTCCTATCCACAGATTGGGAAATGTTGTATCGAGGTATTGCCGGACCTTAACTTGGTAATATGGTGGTGCTCCATCCTGCTGAAACCATATCGCATTCACTGGAACTTGAGGGTTTCCTGGATCAGGATATAAATTTGCTGAACTTGAAATGACATCATTTGAAGTGATGCCAAATAATTATCGTCATTCAAGTTTCCCTCAATGAAAAAAGGACCAATGAAATGGTTCCCTACAATCCCTCTGCCCAAACATCAACATTTTGAGGATATTGCGTGTGTTCTTCTCTTATCCAGTGAGGATTTTCCGTTGACCAGTAGCAGCAATCTTGCCGATTAGCATGACCGTTAAGAGACACAGTACACTCCTCAGAAAATATAACGTCTTCAAATCGGATCATATTGTTATCCAACATGTCCATCATTACTCACAAAAATAAGTTCTTCAATCAAAATCGTGTTCCATGAGCTCCTGAGTAGGTATCATTCTATACGGATGCATTTTGTTTTCTTAATTCTTTAATATGTTTACTATCGATGTATGGGTAACATTGAATGTAGTGGATGCCTGTCTACTCGATGTATGTGGATTTTCCTCAAAATCAAGCATCACATCTAATTGGAGGTCATCACTCATTGCATTGGCAGCTGATTTTTTTATCTGCCCCACATGACCAAGTTCGCGAAACTGCTTCTCTATTTTACTTATTATTTCTTGAGATATGGGCGGTAAATTAGGAAATTCCTCATGAAATACGCGAGTTACTTCCTGTTGTGTTCGGGTTTCATCTCCATAACCAATCATTTGTTAAACTGTTATTTTATGCATTTCCGTTAATCTAACCATTTGTCAGACTTGAAGTTAACAAACTTTGAACTTAAATTAAAATACTGACAACTAATGTTGTAACATACAAAACAAGTTGACAAGGCGTTTTAAACTAACGTTGCCATGGAAATTATGAACATTTTTTTAAAGGATACCATCTAAAACGAACATTGGCATGGTTTTTGCTTACTTTCTTATTATCGATACCTCAACATGAAATTTATTTTATCTTAATTGTTGTAATAAACTTGAAAGCGATAACATTTTTTTAGAGAATGAAGAGACTTTCAAATGTCACAAGCTAATACTTCCCATTTAAAAAATTCGATGGGGGTTGAAGGTAGGGGTAGCCTTTTATCGTTGAAGTATGTCAAATTATAATTCAAATTTGACGTGTTTCGGGATTTTGTTAAAATATGTTGAATAGAACTGGCCGATACTTAATGAAAATCCATATTAAAAAACTTATTAACACAGTTTATTATATGATGTAGGGTTTTACAAAAATCGCGACACGTGTCTCTAACCTATTACCTACTCGTCTGCCTTAATAATGAATCTACCTGAAAAGGTCAGGTATGAATTCATTTAATAAATTTTTCGAAAGTATACCTGTAAATATACCTAACTATTTTTACCTGCAAATGAACAGATTCAATGATGGCGAATTATTCAATTCAGTTTGATCGTTTATGAGATGTTGAGAGTTTTTGAATTTGTTTATTTTCATACTCTCCAACAGGTTAAGTTTCAAACCTTTCTTCTGGAAATGGAGGGGTTTGTATTCATAGTTGAACTCATGTCCCTCTGAGATTAAATGACTGGCATATGTGGAATTTATTTTGCCATTCTGAAAACTATATTTGTGTTCCTTAATGTGGGCTTTGAACGCCCTTCCAGTTTCACCTATATAAAACATCGGACATGACTCACATGATAATTTATGCATTCCTGATTTTCTTGAAACTGAACTTTTATCTTTGTTATTCCTAATGTACATGCCTAAGTTGTTGTTGGTTTTGAAATCAGTATTTACGCCTTTGCTGTGCAGAAAATCTGAAATATTTGTAATGTGTTGGCCTAATTATATTGTATTTGTAGTAGTGGTTTGGCATAATTCGTCCACTTACCCATATCAGCATAAGATAGCAGCTTTCAACAGTATGATCCACAGACTGATGAATGTGCTCTTGTCAGAGGCGAGTTTCAATAAAGAACTGAATATAATGAAGCAAATAGCCGTCAACAATGATTACGATAGCGGTCTAATAGATTCTTTATTATCAAAAAGTTATACAGTCAAGCTAAGAAAGAAGTATACCCAATTAGAAGAGGGTATAAGTTATAGAACCTTAACCTTAACAGAAACATCAATAATGTATAAATTATCATGTGGTCATGTCCGAGGTTTTATTAAGGTCAAACTGGAAGAGCGTTCAAAGCCCGCATAAAGGAACACAAATATAGTTTTCAGAATGGAAAAATGAATTCCACATATGCCAGTCATTTAATCCCAGAAGGACATGAGTTTAACCATGAATACAAACCCCTCCATTTCCAGAAGAATGGTTTGAAACTTAACATGTTGGAGAGTAAGGAAATAAATAAATTCAAAAACTCTCAACATCTCATGAACGATCAAACTGAATTGAGTTATTCGCCATTATTGAATCTGTTCATTTGCAGGTAAAAATACTTAGGTATATTTACAGGTATACTTTCGAAAAATTTATTGATATATTTGATGAATTCATACCTGACCTTTTGAGGCAGACGAGTAGGTAATGGTTCTAATTTAGAAGTAACTCTCAGTTTATGCTTGAGGAAGCTATTGTATAGTGAAACACGTGTCGTGGTTTTTGTAAAACCCTTTATAGTGGAAATCATACAATAAACTGTATTGATTAGTTTTTTTTTGTTAAGATATGTACCGTAACCGAAATAATTAATTTATTCAATTTGGCTTTTACACACTGTATAGTAATAAGCTGAAAAGAAAAAAAATAAATTTGGAGGAAAGAAATGATTGGCATTAATTTAATGAGTACAAAATTCTCTATCGAGCAGTATATACCACGACCCGGTAGAATAAATATTTATTGAGTATGGAGCTATAAAAACACATGATATTTAAATAAACAAAACTTTTGAAACAACCTAATAACAGATTTTACGAACTGATTTTCCAATTTAAAAAACTTTTTTTTTATTGTCATGCAATCAATATTCACCTTGAATACTATAATCCCAGCTGCATAGATGCAGATAATGTTGGTGAAAGTGATGCAGATACTGACCGCTCCTAAAGCAATCAGTTCACTTATTGGATCATCGAAGTAGTAATTATGGAGCGTGAGCTGTTCTAATCTTGTGGTCAGATCTCCTTTGAGAAAATAAATGGAAGCGAGGGACCAAAGCAATCCCTGTAGATAAAATAAATTAATTTAAAATTTTGTTTATATATTCAGAATAAGGAATTTTTTGGGGTGAACATACTAAACTTATCTAGAAGGAGTATTTTATATTCATTCCTTCATAATTTGGATTTGCAGTTGTTAATGACATTTCTCAAATGTTGAATCACAAGCACAAAAATATGATGCTACCAGAATGCCAATGCATACGTCAGAATAATATTGAAACGTCTTACTAAAACAACAAAAATTGAAAATAATTAAAAAAATTATTTCGATTGCCTATTCGTCATCTGTCATTTATACCATAGCATTACACCAGCGAAAACATGAACAGTCAGGAGTCACAACATCCCTGAATGATCAATCTTTGATTTTGTTCGGTACAGACCAACTTTTTTGTCAATATGAAACTTCGAAATTAAAAAAAAATTACGATGACTACTACACTTTTCGATGAATTACACGAAATTACAAGTATATTTTCATTACACGAAAACGGCTTGCGAAGTATCAAAATTCACGAAATGCATGTAATTACACGCAAAACGGAGACATTGGTCGAAACCCATCCAATCCACTAACGTCACCAGAATAATTATCCGGTCAAATTAAACCAAAAAATAGGAGTGGAGGTAGAAACATTTGCACTCTGTTCATAATCAGTAGGATTGTTCAAAACACTATCATGAGTGAAATCTAAAAAATCCTCCTTATCGATTCGATACCTGGGTTTAAGTTCAAGACCTTCATTTTAGTTTATATGAGTTTTAAGTTACATTAGTTATGGCGGCCCTTCTATAAGTTCATGCCTTTTCAAGCAAAGGTCATAAAAACGGGTTTTTCGCGATTTTCAGCAACACGGTCAGTTTTATCATAAAGTTGCTTTCGACAAAAATTGTAGATCAAATAATCATCTATGCAAATGTTTTCTTTTTTTTCTGAGAGTCACCGTTTCTGAGATATAACGATTCAAAAAGTTGGAAGAGATGTACTCAGACTAATACAAGTAAGTGTACATCTTCATCTACAACAATAGTTGTATTTGTTGAATTGAATTGCTCCATTGCTGTTTTAATTGCCATTACATCATCATCACTATTAGCTTGTTTTACCAATATATTTTCAGCAGTAAACTTTTCCTCCAACATTAAAATGAAACGAGATTTCTTATGAGTATTTGCAAGAAATTTCTGTTGACTGTAGGTACTCTCATAGATTGACCAAATAAAATATCAGAAGGTGAAGATGTTGCTAAAGTTCTATGACGTTGTTCTGCGACTTTAATATTTCTTTTAAAATCATTAAAGCCATCAAATACGCAAATAACTCTGGGACTAAAATATCGACGTATACACTGAACGTCATTATCTAAGATAATATCCTCCATCAATGATGTATGTCGTATTTATGTTGTTAATATCAATATTTACCTTTCTAAAACAATCGTAAATGGCAGACTTTTATATTTTACGCATTCCAATGTAATCAAACAATGATAAAGGGTAGTGAGCCAATTCGTATTCACGAAATTTTTCAATTTTATCTTGAATTGCCGCAGTAACACTCTTCTGTTGTAAGTTGTAACAATAATACAGGGTCAACGGGTACTTTTTTATCGTGAACTAATATGGTGCTACTCATATCTAAAAGAGGGACTGCTTTGTCAGCCCGTTTTAATTCAATATTATCTAATGTTAGTCCTGTTATTTGCAATATAGAGTCAAGCCCAGTTTCACGAGCTTCATAATAATTAATTTTATTACCACCAACGACACCACTTGCTATAGATACAATTTTGTCAACCTAAAAGGATCATGAGTCACTCAAGAAGTGACGGTATATCTTTTGCAATTTTTTTACTGCATGGTCAATAATCGAAATCTTTTAATCTTTCACAAACAATATTCACGTCATGCATACTATAAACTCATTTACTATTGATCTATCTGTACTGTTTTTCCGTTAACCAGCTGTCGCCCCCCTAAGAACTACAATTCTTAAAAGTCTAAACTTGTTTGAGCTGTAGACTAACGAGGTCTTACCTTTTAACGTGTGATTCCTAACAATTATGACATTCTCTCTCGTACTTCTACCTCCACTCAAGAAGTTTCCGTATATCTTTTGCATCTTTTTTACTGCTCGGTCGTATCCATTCTAATATTAGTGAGTAGGTATACTATCAATCTTTCACAAACAGTAATAATAACATTTATACTCTAAACTCATTTACTTATGACAATGTCTTCATAGCTTTCATCGTTGACTGCTTGATCACCATATCTGTCGAAGTTCCACACTGTAATTTGTCTGAACGTGTCTAATAAGATTAATCTTTAAGATTAAACTGTTTAATCTTCCTTTCGAAGATGATCAAGATGATCACTTGGTGATCGAAACACGTGTCGAGGTGTGGGAATAACGGTTTGGTGTTGGGATACAACTCCAGTAATATTGATATCAAGTGAAAGATTTTTCACAATATGGCCCATGTATTGAAGATAAGAATAAAATACGAGCGACAGATTTCGATTCTTGCTCCATCTATCAATATGTATACAAAGTTGGGTCAATCTCATTTTTCATGTCGAAAGTTTTTGACAAAACAAAAGCAAATATGTTCAAACAAGAAGGTTTCTATGCATATGTAATAGGACATACCTATATACACATAAATCACAAACCAGAATCCATATAAGCTAGGTGAGATTGCATTTAAATAGACCAAACAATCTATTCAGAATTAAATAAAACAAATTCCGGGCTACTGCNATACAATTCGAGAGGGCATTCAGAAAACATTTTTGCCAAAATTATTTACATTCAAATCATATGAATTGTGTAGACGATCACAACTATAAGTGCACCCTCCTCCTCCCCCACTGCATCTCCAACAGCAAGGGCACTTCCTGCGGCGAGCGCTAAGAGCTCCGCCTTGAATAAAGGCAAGGAACCGGCTGCCCCTGCAGGAAAGCTCCCTTACTTGTGCACCTCCACGGAGGGAACCCCAAGAAGGTTGAAGGACACGGTGAGGTACCAGGTTGCCAAAGAGAGTGTGTGTTCGGCGAGTCTTGGCCTACACCTGCCATTGGTCTACACTAACCCTTCCTACTCTACAGATACATATGTGTGTGGCTATTTGATTAAAAAAACTCTCAACGTTCATACCTGTCAAATAAGTATCGACTTTCCCAAAGAATGTGAAGAATTGGATGCGAGTCAATTATTCACGTCTTGTAAAGCTTATGATTGCGATACAAGTATATATGGTAGATTGAGAGTTCCTAGTGAGTCTTTTGTTAATTATATTTATAAATTAGAGACATGATTCATTATACTAGCCGCAACAGACCGATGTGGGTACTCATTTCAAATGATTTCATTTGTAGATTATGAATAGTATAATATACAGCGTTTAATGTGAAATAGCGTTGAAAGAATTGAACATTCAAAGAAAATCATTGAACATACTTGAAATCAAAAGTTGTTGGGTTATGAACAACTACGAGTTTTCTGTTCAAAATCTGTTTTTCCGTTAATCAGTGTAATTGAATTGCAGAAGTTTGATTCAGAACGCAGAATTTGTTGACAAAAAAAAAATGAAAAAATCATCGTATACTGAAACATATGATATTTTTGGATTTCTTAGGGTGAGGAGGTTTCGAATCGGTCAAAAACAGGTCACTCCCGGTTTTCACTTCCGGTCGTCCGATCCCGATGATTTTGACATCAATGGATTCGTTTAGATGTCAAAAAACATAGTTAATCATTTAACGAAGCGAAAACGACCTCATAATCTATTTTCGCTATACTAGTCACAACAGGTCGATGTGGATACTCACTACTAATATCGAGTACCTAATGTGAAACACCATAGGAAGAATTGCAAAGAAAATCATTGAAAAAACCTCGGATCGTCACGTACAGCATGTCAAAGGAAAGAATAAGAATTGCAGAATTCATTGACAAAGAAAAAACAAATACGGTGCAACATGTCAGAAGGGCACTAAGCCAAATCTTCGTTAATGATTGTTGAATCTCAACGTGCAGCACATCAAATGAAAGGAAAACGAATGTAGAATTCATCGACAGAGAAAAAACAAATATGACGCAATGTGTCAGAAGGGCACTAAGCCATATCTACGTTAATTATTATTAAATCGTCCCGTACAGCACGTCAAATGAAAGGAGAATAAATGCAAAATTCATCGACAGAGAAAAACCAAAGCTGGCGTAATATGTCAGAAGGACACTAAGCCACATCTACGTTAGTGATAGTGGATCTCAACGTGCAGCACATCAAATGAAAGGGAAACGAATGCAGAATTCATCGACATAGAGAAAAAATGCGATGCCAAAAGGGCCCTGAGTTGTATCTTCACTAATACTACTCGCATCGTTACATACGACACTTCAAATAAAAGGAAAAAGAACGCAGAATTGATGTGTTTGTAGAACTTTTCTATTCATACCCAAGGTGACATGAATCAATGTCAACGCTGAATAGGCATCTGACAATACGCCTCAAAACGACTAAACAAAGACTTTTTGATTTTCTTTGTTTCATTTCAGATTATATCATCACAAATTTTCATATGCATATCCAAGGTGACCTTGATCACTGTCAATGCTGAATCAGCATCCGGAGATACGTAGTTCTCAAAGCGGGGAAACAGACTTTTATTTTTTTTGTTTCATTTTGAAATATGTCACCACTTATTTTACTATAAATACGTCCTGCATGGCGAAATTAGTTAATTGCATCCGTTGAAAGTGATATCAGTGACAAGTGCACCGATTCTATTCGAAAGTAAGTATTTTCACATTTGACTTTTTCCTCAGATGAATGTATTCAAATGTAATTTAATTTTTTAATTCAATTCCAAAATAAAAAAGATTCCTTCTGGCTGGGATTCAATCAAATANATTCATTGTTACAGAGCTCTGAAGAAAAATTTGACTAAATTCGAAACGTTGGCAAAAAATAATTGGTTTTTTTTTCAGAAAAA